CAGAGAATGGTGTACTAGTCGAAAAGTTTATCATATCTACAATTTTTATGTCGTTATGACGTAATATGACGTCATAATGACGTCATTAATGTGATTTTATTGGCCAAAACCGTCAGAATAGGTTTTTCCCTGAAAACTAAATGGTATTCAACATAACTGTACCAAAAGTGTTTATGACAGAATATTATGGTGTACTAAGTCTTATGTTGCCCAGAGCAACACCGGTGACGTCATAAATGACGTCATGCATATTTAAGATATCCGCCATCTTGGATCATCAATCTTGAATTTTCAAAAATAGTTTTTCATGATAAAGCCTAAAATACATTGTAAACATACTAAAGACCTTCATTTAAAACTTTTTTGGAAAAAGAAATGGAAGTATTGATGAAATTTTAATGAAAATAACCTGTATATACCTGTTCTAATGAAATGGCCCGCCATCTTGGATTTTGGCCAATGACGTCATCAAATTAGCATAAATTATGCATATTTAATGATAAAATTTACATAAAATTATATGGGATGTTATTAATATTAGAAACCATGAGTAACTTGACATAAAACCCATACAATTCTATTGTTGAAACAAAAAGTACTAAATTTAGCAAAAAATGCCTGTCACAAACCCGTTGCCATGGCAACACAAAAAATGATTATCTTATTCCAATGATAGAGAATTGTTGCCAACAATATTCTAGGAAAAGTCACGAAGTTTGGCCGTTCTACGGCTAGCCGTTCAGACGCTAGGTGACATCAAAGTTGCCGCGGGCACTTTAAGCCCCCCCCCGGTCTAGGTAGGGTTAAAATGTAGTCTTTGATGAAATCTTACCGCCGAGCCCGTGGGTGGGGTCCCGACAGGCAAAGTACACCCACAGCTGAAGAACACAGAAAGGTCCGTGGCAGCGCTGAGGACAACTTTCCAGAACATGAACCCCCAGAAGGAAGTCTTTCTTTCCTCTGAACATACTGTACTTTTACGGAGTACAAATTAATACATGTGTATTCCCTTTGGAGTGTTTATTCCTTTGATTTTGTGACAAAAATATCTATCACATTAGGAGAGCTTATTTGAACCGCAGTCACTCTCTCCTGTTCGGAATCGTAAGTCCCAGTACTCCTTTGTTGTTGTTTTGATTTCGCCTTTCGGTGTCAATCTTTTTTTATTCAGTAGCACCCCTACACCCACAGTAGTATTAATACTCCACCTAGTTCTCCGTCTTGATGATTGTTCCTCTTCATACGTAAGATGGGTCGATCGGGCGAGCGCTATTAAAGAACTGTTCGGCACATTTCGATTAAAAACAACAAAGCTACGTACTTGTGCATCAGCATTCAACTACCGCCCGTTACAGATAAAATCAACATTGACATAGTATCTTCTTTTTATGAATCTTTTACCCCAAGAAATTTTGATTCTAAACCTCCTTGATTACCCAAACTTTCCGGGATCCAAAGCTGTACTTTTCACCGCACTTGCGGTGGTGACGTCTTGCAAAGCGGTTGCGGCCGGCCGGCCGGCGGTGAAACGTTTCCCGCTGCGTCACCATACAATCACGTAGTACCCGGCATAGTAAATCTATTTTTACCTTCGCCAAGAAGGTTATGTTTTCGGTAGCGTTTGTGTGTATGTATGTTTGTGGTTTAGCACGATAACTCAAGAAGCTTTTGATGGATTGGAATGAAACTTGGTAGGTGGATAGGTCTTTGTGAGACCTAGAAATGATTAGATTTTGGTCCCCCTGGAGGCTTTCCTAGGTACTGCAGCAGAACTTGCTAGGGTCACGAAGTTTAGATGGCAGATAGTTCTTGGAATAGGAAAGAAGTGACATGAGTTTGGGCCCCCTAGCGGCTTGTTCTGGAACTGCAGGAGCATTTGTTGAAAAATTTTCGAAGGCGGATAACTCAAGAACCGGTTGACGGATTGTCATGATTTTTGGTATGTAGGTAGTTGCAGTGATGCTTGACATAATCAGATGGCAATTATGCAAATCATGAGCTAATTTGCATAATAAATCAGGAAATTCTATAAATCTGCTTTGTTCGATTATAGAACTATGAAACACTTGTGGCATCTGTGGCATTGAGAACGAGAAAAAACATCTGAGGATGTAGATTATGTAAATGAGGATCTAATTTGCATAATTAATGGAACGTTTTCATAATTTTATAGTTGTAACTGCTGGGAATTTCATACTTGCCACATTTGGAAGTTAGGAGAAGGTGAACATCAATAAACATAATTTATTCAAATCATGACCTTATTTGCATATCATGAAGACCTACCCACCTGCCAAGTATAAAGACAATCCATCAAAGCCTTCTCGAGTTATCGTGCTCACACACACACACACACACACACACACACACACACACACACACGAACGCCCCTGAAAATATAACCTTCTTGGCGAAGGTAAGAATAAACAGCTACATTTCAAGAAAACGGCTCTATATTACGCACGTGACTTCCAAGATGATTAAAATCTAACCATTCCTATATGGCGCCTTTAGTAATGGCTTATAATTATGAATGTTTATTCATACCCTAACTGTAACCTGCTTGCTTCGATTTCATGATGTATTTACGATATATTTTCCTGTAATGTGAGGTGTTAATATCAATAACTAAAGTTCTAATTAATATTAATGACTACATGCCTTCGCAAATTAAAGAAGTTTATTACACTATAGCTGTCGGGTCTCTTTTGTCTTTAGAGACTTGGTCAGCTATAATAGGTTCGGATACCAGGCTACAGTCGTGCTTTACATGTATTTTGTTCAATATTTTCACACATCGTTGAAGGTACGATACATATTTCGGTTCTGTTCTTCGCCTTCTCCAAAGAGGAAAAATGCGACCAAAACGCTGAGGTAGGATCCTAAATCTGATTCCAGATTACACCCATCACTTTTAAAGAACAAAAGGTCGACACCACATGTTTCAGTGTATAATGGATTTCATCTACAAGGGGATCTATCAAATACGCCAGACAAGTTTATATTGCCTAGCCAATTTGGTGATGTCTTGCTGGTTGGTTACTATTTTGTCACCAAACGATATGCTTGAAAACTGATGGAAGTCTAGATCTACAGTACTACATCATGTCGTTGGATGTCGCTGCTTAGCCGATTTGATGATGTTTCTCTGGTTGGTTAACGATATCGATGAACATGTTTAAAGACCAAATGAATAAGTTTCAATCTGCAGTTCTACATTATGTCGTTAGATGTCGCATCTAAGCGAGGTTCAGCAACTCGCGCAGTGTGTTCAGCTTGCTGCCCACCGCCTCGAGCTCCTCCGTAGCCTGGGCTGCCGACTCGTCGTCAGAAACAGCCGTGACGTCATCAGAAACAGCCATGTCGTCATCAGAAACAGCCGTGTCGTCATCAGAAACAGCCGTGTCGTCATCAGAAACAGCCGTGTCGTCATCAGAAACAGCCATGTTGTCAGCTAGCTGATCCTCGAGGCCACCTTGTGTTTCGCGTGTTTCTGTGAGGTGAAAACAACAACAAAGGAATTAGACACATTGTCAATCAGTCTTGTCAACTAGTATTACAAAGCAACGCTGCTTGCTAAGATTAAGGCTGGACATTAACTGAACATTCCGATACCATCTCTGACACGTTTGCTAAAGCAATATGATTACTATAATTCTGTGCCGTAAAACTGATTTCATATGGCTTTTATTTCTCTATTATAGTTTATAGTTGATTATATTAACGTCATTGTACTTTCTTTGCATCTTCTTTGATAACAGCGCCGGTGATTCTTACCTAGCTGAAGGAGGACTGCATGTATGTCTGTGACATAGGTATGATTTCATGCATATCGTCTTTTATTTCTTTATTCTAGTTCATAATTTACCATATAAACGTCAGTGTACTTTCTGTTGCGCAAACATCCTCTTCTTTGATAAGAAGGCCAGTGAATCTCACCTGGCTGAAGGACGACTCTTTCTTCAGACACCTCACTCACAAATGGCTCAGAGACGGTCTCCACAGTGTCCAGCCCCTGTACGTTGGAGGGGCTATCCTCATTTCGCTCTACGGAGCCCAGCAGTATCTCAGTCAGGCCAGCCGGCTTTGAAGTGGACGGGTCTGTTCCCTTATTACCTGGGCAGGCTGGAACAGGATACAAGGCATGTTTTAGTAACAAATTACTAACAGCATAATGTAAATGCATTTATGTAAATGCATTTATGTTCGCGATTACTACATTTCGCGCAGCGGAGCAAAAGGAGAGTTCGTGAGGGATTTACTTCGCTATACTGCAGAACAAAATACAAAAGGGAATGCCAACGTTTGATAGAAAAACCGCCGGATAGCTAGTGAATATCCACGCACACCCTTTTCATGGGTTTGCCCGGCTCCGCAAATCCCCTATATTTGATAATAATAAGGTCAATATTTCGTTAGTTATTAAACACTTTCTCCCACCCTGCAAGGAGACCATGTTCGGACTACCAACTTGACCTTATGGTCAACCTGCGGTTACAAAATCTTCCCCTTTTCTTCCACTTTAACGCACTGAAGTACCTACAAAAACATAAGGAAACGCACGCACAAACACACTGTGACACAGACGTGCGCGCACACAAACACACACACACACACACACACACACACACACACACATGACACATCTCTTGTGAACAGTCTTTTGACTGTGTATAGTCTGGGAAAGCCCTGGGGACTGCACAGAAGGGTGTCATATCAACCCTAAACTAATGCTAATAGCAGGCGGGGAGTGGGAGGTGAGGTCAGAGCAATTATCGCCTCACCTTGATGCGCATAATGAGGGCTTTACTGGAGGCAGGGTGGACAGGTCTTAGCTCACTAGAGATACACACACACACAAACACACACACAAACACACACACAAACACACACACACACACACACACATACACACACACAAACACACACACAANCGCAACATTTGGAAACTATATAGTTATCCCAAGAACATTATATATGTTCTTGGTTTAACCAAGGACATATATAAGGATAATACCCTTAAATACGTGAGTAAAACTTGAAATGTTATGCACAATACATTATGCATGCAGACACAGTACATTATGCTAAAATATTTTGTAGTGCCACAACTCTTCTGTTGTAGAACTCCTGTATACTTGATGTAAATAGTTGTACATTGGACATGTTGGAAATGACGTAGTGGGTGAATAAAATGAAATCAATGGAATAACGATGAGTCTGGTATTGTTTACTGTTGTTCTTTTGTTAACACGCACATGTAGCAAAAGTACTGTAGGAGGTGGCTTGACAAAACAAGGAAGAGAGCTTTAAAGACATTTGTGTGGGTCGTGTGGCATAACGGTAGAGTGTTCGCCTCGGAACCAATAGGACCCGGGTTCGAACCCTGCCGTATGTCACCGATCTTGTGCACTTGAGACCTGTGCACTGTGGAAGACTTTCCTCACTTCACTCAATGAAAATGAGTATTGTGTTGGTGGCAGCATTAAAATAAGTTGAACAAAATTGAGTCTGTTGTCACTTCGAGATGAAACTTCACAGATACCTGACATAATACGTGAAGTCCCATGTAATCCAATAAGTCTCGTGTGAATAGGTCACATTTGCACAACTCTCGCGAGTTTACTTTGATTCTTGTGTTGGAATACAGTTCATCATCGTACTATGATTGCTACCAATGAAGAAGAACATACACGATGAGGTGTTTTCCCTCTATAGCCCTGTGCCTTTGTGTACATAAATCTTACAATGGTTACAAAAATGTATTGTAGCATGATAGGATCATATTTCAGCACTAAGGACAGAGCCATGTAGTGTAACGGGGTGATAGGGCAATAGATGCTGTGAAGGAAATACATATGGTTCTTGGCACCTTCAAGACGAAAAATCACATAGTGTCATGTTAAGCAAGATTGACCCCATTTTACATTTTATAAATAGTAAAAAAAATATTGCGGAGGTTGTAGTGATTGGCCGAGGGAGTAGTGATGAATCCCCAAAGAGGAGAAGTATTGTCCTGTAAGATGTTTTCAAGTGTTCTCAGGGTAGCATATATGCAATTTATGTAAGACTAGTGCTGCAAATGCGTGACGCACGACACAGAGTAGATGCTAAAAGGACGTAGTAATATGAAATGATACGTAATGAGTGCGCAACGCCTCATGGACTACAATGCTTGGATTTTGGATTCACATAAAATGTAATTTTATCAACATTTATTTTGGTCCCTTTACTATGATTTTCAGCCCAGAAAATGTCCATTTGGCAGGGCCATATAACACAGTTATAATAATGAAACTTTATTGCATGTTCATCCCGGGGGGGATAAATGCATGAATGTACATAGTACAACATACTAGAAAGAACTTACAATAATGATGATAAAGGGAGGCTAACATAGAGTCTAAGGTAGATGATACTAAAAAAAAAGAGAAAACTATACAAAGTAGTATCAATCTAAGTTCTAATGGCTTCTTCCCTCTTTTTGAAACATTTCGAAATATACTCTTACATACTTCATTGATGACATCTATATTTGTACATGACATGATATATTTAAAAGTATCTTCTTTTGATAATGTTTTTTTGTCTAGCTTAATTGAATTGAACAAAGATTTTCGTTCATCATCATATAATATACAGTCAAGCATTAAGTGCGATTCTGATCTTCAATACAAGCATTGTTACAGAATTTGCATAGTCTGTCTTGTAACGGTGTACGGCTATGCCTGCCAGATTCTATGTGTAGAGGATGGTCGCTAATACGGAGTTTACAAAAGGCTCTTCGGTTATCAAAATTTCGAATGTCTAAATATGGTTCTCTGTCGTATAGTACTTTGAATGTTTTGTATGTTCTAAGTTTGTTGCCTTGATTTTCTCTTTGTCCTGGTGCTTGTAGTACTGAGTTGAATTTTTGGATGAACATATCTTTTAATATTTGTCTTAGTTCGGGTAGATGGAATGGCTTGTTCATATACTCGTGTGTATATAGGCAGGCATAAGCTAGGGTCCCAATTACGCCGGTGCCCGTCGGGGATGTAGCCCCGGCTGGCCCCGGCCGGGTTCAGGAGTCGAGCGGGCATCGGCTGTCGTGGTCACAATTAAAAGTTTCCTTCAGTAGCATTTTGTTAGAAATTTTGTCACCCTCTTTGGTCGGTCTCCGGCAGGCACACGGCAGGTACCCAGCAGATTCTCTGACGATGTCTTGTATTGACCTATACGTAATGCAGAATTCACGTATTTGTTGTGATCATTTGATCTGTGAGGTCACACATTTTACCCGGGTTTACGAAGTACACACCTTTATTCTGTTCATCTGGTCTGTGACGTAAGAAATGTGTCCCGGTGGAATGCCGGCAACCGGAGGGGTACCTCTCGGTGTTCTCACGATGAGGTCACGGCGTCTTTTTGTCAGCGGGGCCCGGGTAGAATTTAACTCAGAATTAAATTCTTATCGGGGCCCCGACGGGCCAAAAAATAGCCCGGTAGCCGCAGGGTGCCCCGCGGGGCTACGTCGGGGTCCCGCCCGAAAGTGGTAAAAAACAGCCCGGGAACTACCCGCCAGGGCCCCTTTTCCCAATTGGGACCTTAGCTATAGCCGGACTCCTGTAAAATTGTCTTCACGTTCAACAACCAAAAGGGTACTGTACTTCTAACAATGTCTTTTTGTACAATTAAAGCTTCATATTGGAGGCTTTCAAATGGGAACATTTCTATAATAATCTAATCTATAATAAAAGCTATATAATCTACAACAGGCTTCAATCCATAGGGGGAAGCGGTCAAGTTCGGCTCTGCTTGCATAATTGCTAGCAAAGCCGGTGGGTAAATTAAGTTTTATATCATGTCCATATTTATGCATGTGTAAAATATGTCCTCGTATTCCTTTTCATGATAGATTTAATATGATATAACTTGAACATGTTACACAAGAAAGTAAAATTTATGATATTTATAGTATAGCGCTTTTGTTGATAGTCTTATCATAACATTCAGCAGACACTTTATGTTGTTTTTCACCGAAGGGACGTTAAAGGAGTACTAACCTCCAGAAGGAAGTGCTGTTTTCCGATACATCATGCTGCAATGAATACATAACTAGCCGACTTTTTACATAATTTCGCTTGTACGAGTTGCACGGCGCATGTTTGTAAAGTAATATTAATATCATTTTCCCCCATGCTGAACCACAATTGATACATCCGGGAACTCTGGCTTACGCAATACTCATACACTTCAGGTCAACATAAACATTTTTGGACGAAAATGGTAGGAGACAAGCACACTAACAAACTGATTATTGAGAAATTACTTGCTTTACTTTGCTTGACCTGCGGTTTTGATACTAAAATATCAGGATGTCTAATGCAGTGGGCGCTAGTTTCATCCTGCGTGTTTTGATTTTCTCAACTTATTTGCATGTAAGTATTACTTGAACAGATAATTAGATTACGCCACTTATGGAAAGGATAACTAGATTATGCCGTTTTTTTCATCGTCAATATTTGTGGCATAAATGAGGGGCGATAAGGACACCAAGAAGGGCAATGGTTGGTAAGGTACCAAAAGAACACAAAACGGTACGAATTTTTCTTATCGCCCCCGAAATGAGGTCTGTAACGTAACTTTTTGTTTAAAACATAGACACCAATTGGGTAGCGTGGTGTATTCTGGGATAGTTTTGAGGGTATTTGGAGAGTTTGTCCTGGATTCGATGCGTTTTAAGACTTGAGCGCAAAATGGGCATTTAATTGTATACTGTAAAATAATATGCATTTTTCACTTCCTAAAATTAATGCCTGTCAAAATATAGCACCTCCTTCTGGAGGTTAGTACTCCTTTAACCTGTTCTTGACAATGCCCAAGTCTGCAATCGATGCTAGCTCTCTTTCCAAGCTCTTGTTCTCTAGTCGTGGTGTCTTTGACCTTTCAACCGCCTTTATCATCCCTTTCAAACTCTGTTGAATCGTGTTGATATCGCTACTTGAAAGTCCAGTCAGTTCCTCGTCCGTAAATCTCTTCTCAAGTGCCGAGACTGCAGTCACCAAGTTTGTTTTTGCCGGGCTCCTTTTGTCATGTTGCTTAAAAGGAGACTGCTGTTTTTTCTTTCCGCCATCCTCTGACTGAAGGGTATCAATAACCGTGCGAGGCGCGATGATGATAACATGGCAGAAAGAACGAGAAAAGGCTGTGTACAGCAGTTCCACTGCGTTCTTGTCTTCTCCAGGGCAATGGGGATTATACAAGATCAGTACCTTGGTCTCTAAACCCTTGAATCTTCTGATACTCTCTACTATGATGGTCTTCGGGTTATCGTTCTTGATAGATTGCGTAGCATCCTGGCACGCAATCTTCTTGTCCTCTTTAAGGATCTTTATTATGCCATCCGCAGTCTCCTTATCACGAACGAGAACACAAATGTCGTTTGGCTCCACCTTCTCGTCAAGTAGCCTCTTCACACGCTCTGAGATGTAGTTACAGGCGACCTTGGCATCTTTAGGGTCATCACTCCCTTTGGTTTTGTCCCACTCTATGCACATGCCTCTGATATTGTGTCCAATAGAGCACTGAGGTTCCATTGTTTCAAGGTATACGTACTTCTTGAACTGGTCATAAACACTGCGTGTCATCCGATACACCTTGTTCAGTTTAATCGCCTTGTCCTGATCATCAGAAGAAAGTCCTGTTGCTCCTAATCTTACGAGCTGATGATTGTCGAAGAAAATCCAACGAAACTTCCTCTCGCAAATCGATTTTTTTTGGATCGCCTCTAGTAGCTCTCGCCACTTACCGGTGAGATCTTGACCTTCGTCGACGAAAATATGGTCGAAGGTTAGGTCAACATCTTCTGTCGGTTTGCCGTGCAGAATGGAATCAAAAGTTCTGACTGTAACACAGGAGCATTCTTTCAATTCCTTGGTGAGTTTCTCTTCCAGTGGTCTGTTGTAACAGAGCACAAGAATCTTCTCTTTTTTCTCAGCTTTTCTGATGTGTGTGTCGAGAGCTCGTACCTTGTGCAGTAGGATCGAAGTCTTGCCGCTTCCTGCTGGCCCTGTGATGAGTTGGTGCAGAGGCAGCCCAATGTTGTCCAGGAGAGCGAGTTGCTTACTGTCGAACATCTGCAGGACGTCGGAAGTGGTGCTATCTACCCGTTCGCCCATGGCAGGAACCGTACTTCGGATACCTATGAACCTGCATACATGCACATATGAGAAGTCAGCATTTCAATGACGCATATATGACCGGTACCTTTACTTTTATTTACTAGTAGTTTTTAAATGATATTACATGTAAGTAGATGCATACGTCTTGATGAGTCCTTGCTCATTATCTGGACTAGCAAATTAATCATAGAAAATGCTAAAATTCCCTACTGATAGTTACAGGGAATTTCATTTCATCGCGGTATTTGAAAAGTGTGAAGATGGACTTCATTAAACATAATATGCATGGTATTTATGTGGAAATACTAGATTGTCATCAGGTGCAGAATATATTTCATGATATAATTAATGATATAATTCAGGAAAATGAGGATCTTATTTGCATTATGAATGAAAAACATTTAGTCGTAAGATAAACACTTGACAAAGGTATGAGGTCGTGGAATTCATTAGTTTATATTAAAAACTTTTTTCGCCCAGGAAAATCCATGAACATAATTACCAGCAAAGTAGAGATTTGTAAGTGTCATCCCCAAGCCCTGGCGTGACGTCCCTAATGTTTTGGTCCCACCACTTGCGGAAACTCTTGCCGTCTTGACAGTCTTCCTTGAAGCAGCCAGATTTGTAGGGTTCTTTCGAATTCTGTGGCCGTTGACAGTTGGGCATCATCACAAAACCAAAATCAGCAGCTATGGATACACCAGCAGGAAGTTTAAGAAGCGATGACAGAGCCTCTCGAGACTTTTTTATCTGATCTTTTGCGCGGTCGAAATCACTTTTGCTAAATTTATCTGATGCCTTAAGTTCTAAGAAGATGAGTCCATATTTCTTACTCACGATGACAAAGTCGAATTCCCCGAGGACCGTCCCGATTTTTTTACCACGTTGATTTCTTTCCCTGACAGTAAAGCTGTGGATGATAAACATTGGATTACCATTTTGGTCTTTGGCAAGGTCTTTACCAAGTTCATGGAGGCGGCAGTAAACGCGCAATTCAGCATCATTTCCTGCCCTTTTTCCCAAATCATCCTGTTTCCCAGAAGTGGTGAATATGTCAGGGACCATGTGAAACGCAGTCAGCCAGTAGGGGTAGTTTTTCTCTACGTACTTCTCCACCGTTTTGCTGTACGTCTCCTTTTTGTTCCTGTCGTCTCGCAGAGACTCTTGTGCAGTACAGGTAATCCGCTGAGAGTCGCCATTAGCTTCTTCTTTGTTCCCATCGTTATGTTTTACATTCCAATCTCTAGCTCCTTCAATTTCCATTTCTAGCTCTCCTTCATTCCCGTCTTTAGTTTCTTTATTCCCGTCTCTACCTCTTCCATTCCCATCTCTAGCTCCTTTATTCCCATCTTCCGATGCAGGTGAGAGGAAGCAGGAACACAGCCATTTCCTGCTATATGATTATAAATGACAGACAGCATCAGGCTGGTGGAATATTACAGAGCAAAAATTACGCCTACATTACCTTGAAACAGATTTAAACTGAAATATCTGCTTTATCACAGGTAGAAAAGTATCATATTTAGATCAGAGATCCCTTATCATCCTTTCTGGTACACCAATTAAGCATTTAAACAGTGCCATGTTACTTCTTACACGTTACATCATGAAAATTACAAATATGAATCAAATCAGAACTAGAGTTCCCCGATCTCATACCTTCGCCAAATGATGTTAATCTTTATGACTGACAAATTATAGATTAGATTATTCCCCCCTGATTTAAGAAATAGGAACCTAACTTTTCATGAATTATATCATTTTATCATAATCTCAACCCAAAAAGACAGTCTTATATTAACAAACAATGCATTCTAGCATTTCCTAATTAATTATGCAAATGAGGTCCATATTTGAATAAATTATGTTTAATGATGTTCACCTCAATTTAACTTTCAAATACCACAAGTATGAAATTCCAGGCAGTTATCATTACATAATTATAAAATTTTCTCATTAATTATGCAAATTAAGTCATTATTAACATAATCAATATCTTCCTGTGTTTCTCTCGTTGTCGATTACCAATGTCACAAGCTTTAATTTGTCCTATTATTGAATGCAGCTGATTTATAGAATTTCTCCATAAATTATGCAAATTGCATCAATATTTGCATAATTGTCACATAATTATATTAAGCATCACGTAAGCTACCTACATACCAAAAATCACGACGATCCGTCAACCGGTTCTTGAGTTATCCCCTTTTGAATATTTTCAAGAATTTATCCCTGCAGTTCCAGAGCAAGCCGCTAGGGGGCCTAAACTCATGTCACTTCTTCCCCAGCACAAGAGCTACCTACCATCTAAATTTCATCACTATAGCATGTCTAGATCATGAGATATCAAAACCGGAAGTTCAGCTGCAGTACCATAACAAGCCGCTAGGGGGTCCAAAATCTAATCACTTTGAGGTCTCATCAAGATCTACCCACCTACCAAGTATCAAGACAATCCATCAAGGCCTTCTTAAGTTATCGTGTTGACAGACAGACACACACACACATACACGAACGCCCCTGAAAACATAACCTTCTTGGCGAAGGTAAATATGTGAATAGCATATAACCAGTATTTCACTGTGCATTTTATTGGCCAAGAAAACCTAAGGATATTTTCAGATTTGATATTAAAGGACACTGCCACACTGGCTTAATTTTATAAATGAAATCCACTGAGGACCCCCGGACACCCGGGCGGGCGAATATAACAAAAATTCCAGCAAAAAAGACACAGGAATACAAAGCTGGTATTGTGAAACTGCGGTAGTAGTAGTAGTGACGTTGGTACATGGCGTCTTTTACAAGTCGATTCGCGCTGGCCTTTTGTGGCACCGTATAGTACGTATATTCTGAGTTCCGGAGTTCCGTGGAGCCTTGGCAGCCTGGGTGCCATCCTTCGTAGTTGACGTTACCTTCGGCTCTCTAAGTGATGCTAGCTACCATGGACTTCGTACACGGAGGATGGTACCCAGGCCCTAGTCTCCACCAGACTACTTTGCAGGCTGAATAAATAGTAGAAAACGGATAAGGGGAACATCATTTACCAGAGGACTTGGCCGGCCATAGAGGGTCTGTGCAGGCAAGCTGGACCTTCTATGGCCGGCCAACTCCTCTGGTAAATGATGTTCCCCTTAGCCGTTTTCTACTATTTATTTCAGCCTGCAAAGGAGTCTGGTGAAGACAACCCAGGCCCTGAGATCCATAAAAAAATCAATGCGCGCATGGATGCCATCCATAAAATAAAATCAGGGCCTTACCAAGGTATCCATGTCCCCGCCAATAGCTCTCAATAGCGTGTCAATCCGCCATATTGGTAAACATCAAAGAGGCGGTGATGGGGAGGAGATGGGAACCAATTCACTTAATTTCCAAAGTTATGTCCTCAAAATGTCAACCTAAGATATGAGGAGAATAGATTGGGTTAGAGGTTAGACAAAGGGAGCTAAGAATTAAAATATTACATACAGAGGTATTTAGTATTTAGATTGTGGGAGATACATTCATGCAAAATAACCTATATACTGGGGAGCTACAAAAAATCCTAGATAAACCAAAGTCAGCCTGAGCTGGCGAACTGTACCTGGTTCCATTACACAAAACACCAGATCAGAGTGCCGTATGATCAAGCTATTGAGTGGGAAACAAATTTCCATGCGTGTAGCCGTGATATTTGAGCCCCCCTCATCAATCTTGGAAATCTTTACAACATGGACGTCATTTTTTCTTCAGAACGACCTTTAACTTATAAAATGTTCGGTTGGTGACTTTAGATTTAACACAAAAGTCTGAACAAGGGTGGTGTTTAAAAAACACACCAGCGACGAGAAGTATTTAATAATATGGTAGGAGGCATGGTATCGTGCTTGTGTCATGTATTTTTTGTGGCTGACAAAGGTGAATAGGTCTATGGAGGTAACCGGTTGTTTTGCTATTGTTAGTTCGCTACAGGCATTTCGATACATGGCAGAAGTCTCTAGATAGTCTAATAACATTAGAAATGATTATCGTATTCCTACCACGGCGGTCTGTCACTACGGTATTCTTTCCCATTGCTAGGGGGGTTCGAAAACGTATCAGGTTACAAGACGCAAGTTTGGCCTGTTTTGGACTACCCGTAAACCACTTGAAAATAAACAAATAGTATTGAAGGGTAAATTCCGTCAAAATAAAATGAAATTATCGTGTTTACATACGTTTAATGTTAGTTGTTTAAGTTAAATTATTAATTTTGAAAAATCTCGCTCCGATAGACGATTTTTTGCCGGATTTGGAGCGCTAGTCCGAGACAGTCCGAGTCATGTTTTTAGGCAAACATCGTTTAAGATTGGCTACGTATGTTACCCCAAATCCCCGATTTTTATATTTTTCGACGATTAGGAATAAGATCAAAAATCGTGTCTTAGGAATTTTTTAATTTCTGATTTTAAATATAGTTTTTGTCGACATAAATGTGAAAAAACGGCATTTTTTGACATTTTTCGCACTCAATTGCTCATAATTCAAAGTCAAGGTCCTTTTTCGAAAATCCCTAAGACACGATTCTTGACAAACCCGTTACGGTTATTTTGAGCAGTCAATGAGATATGTAGGACTCTCCATGCTTCCAATCTTAAACGAGTTTTGGACGCATGTCATACGGCATGAATATGACTAGTGTTTATTTAGACTGATGAGTACACGCATTGCGAACTTCAAGGTCACCCACAATAACGGCAGTAGCTTCGTTTCATGTTCCAGCCAACTACAAAATGAAGGCAGACATGTAGTTGTCCAGGAAATGGTATATATTTGTTAAAAGGTGGATTTTTTTCTGTTAGGAGGTACACATGTAAAAAGGGGCCGGAAGACCCAGGTTTACTGTAAATGACCGCGGGTGACCCCATTTCGAACACCGTTCTATTCGAATTACGTCAGATCGAACATGGTTCGGGTTCTACTGCAGGTGGGGAGATCGGGGCCCAATTTTGACCACCGTGTACATACGCGTACATATTTATAAAATGTTAAAGAATGAAATCATGACATTTTCAGCCTGGAAGGTAATGGTGATTTAAGCTCCTTGAGTTAGCGTGAAATACAATTTGCGTGAAATACAAATGCCAGCGGACTACGACACTGATCTCATCGGGCCAGGGTAGCCACACTTCTGCCATGTAGCGAAACGCCTTACCACGATGGAGCGAAACGTACTGTAGCAAACTGACAATGTAGCAAAACGACCTGTATTCTCTATGGATGTAATGCAAGGATTTTTGCCTGGATTACGTTTGGAAACACCGCCAGGCTCCATAAATATTGATCCTTTCGTTTATTTGTTTGACGTCGGTGTTTACGGCTAGTCATACAGGGTTGAAATTTAAAATTAAACTAGAAAGGCCAATATTTGCTTTGGAGCAAATACAACAATGGGTTCACCACATTTTACGACATGACAGGGAAAGAATGAGAAACACAAGGGAAAACAATGATTTACATTGATATAACTATAATATGAAGTAACATACAACTAAAACAACAGTTGGATAGCTATTCCCTACTTTATTGGTTAGGATTTTTAATTGCATAATGCAAACTGTTGATTTTCAAAATAAATAAAAAAACGTTCATGCCCCGCATTCCAATGCTGGAGCAGAAAAGCTTGAAATACCTACCAAAACACTTGAATAAAGACATACTGTCAGTATGGAAATGCTCTGTGCAGGTGTTAATCAAGTTAAATCCCAACAGCCAATCAGCAAGAAGTATAGAGGAAAGCTGCATGCCTATTGGTTGATGCCCTGCNCATGCATTCTGAAACATGCACAGTATATTGCAAGACAAGGACATATTAAATTTTATTCACAATCCGGCGCCGTTGCAGGCAGTCGTGTGTTCCAAAGCAGGAACGCTACCGAACGCGTCAAATGATTTCGCAGCAAGAACAAATTAACATTCATTACCTGATTCAACCTTCCTTACCTGACCATATTGAATAAAGATTGTACATTGCATACATGATAAACATCAGATGTACACTACTCTTGCGATTCTATGGGACAACACTTGTAAGTTTTACCACAGGTTTTACACACTCTTATCATTTTCTAGTTTTGCATCACAAGCTCGCACAGTCTAAAAGATCTATTTTAGAGGCGAAGCATCAGTCGCGCTCAGTAGGGTAGCGGCCAGGCGGTGGTGGAAGGGTCGCTAAGCATGACGGGTAATTTTCTCGGTCAGAAGCGCAGCGGGCTCATTTGAGCTGCTAGCGGCCGCCCCGAGCG